TCAAGACCACCAGCAGCAGCAGCAGGCGGGATGACACCAAAGCTGCTGCTGTGGGCGAGGAGGACATTCAGCTCGCAGCTGCAGTGCTGGGGACTTCTGATCCAGTGAGTGCAAATATATTTCTCTGTATAGCAACGACGAGGAAGTACCATGCAAAAAAAAAAATTGGCTCATTATTCTGCTCACTTCCGGCTGACTGGGTGGGCTATCTCGAGTGATGAACCATCCCGAGGGATAAGGGTTATTCTGAACAGGAACCCGGATAGTTTTTCTCACATTTCCACGCAGTGGTTTGAAGAGTTCTTGCAAAAATGTATTCGATTCAATTATTTTCTTATTAAAACTCTTCAAAATATTCTCCAAAAATTGTAAATGTTTGCAAACTCTTTTTGTATTCGGTCATATTTTCCTGTGCAAATTGTATTAAATTACTCATTTTAAATCTTTAAAATGACTTACTTCAACATGCACTCTTGAGAGCATCCCTGGATATGTTTGGGCCAATGGTTCGAGACACTTGGTCGCAAAATGAGATGTTCTAAAAATTATTTCAAGGATAGTCTCATCTGATATGGTGCATGCATGGTTGAAAGAGTACAATATGTTCAATACTGTGGATTCAAAAATAGATGTTCGCATTTTAACATTGTTAGCGTGAAGTTATTGAGGTAACCATGTACTTGCTAGTTACCAAAGGCAATTGACCAGCCTTCAAACTTTGATTCCAAATTTAAATGCTCATGAGGAAATTTTGCTTTAAGGTGTGATTGAAGAGTTTAGTTCCTTATTGCTGGGTGGGAAATTTAAGACTGAAACTTCATTTGACCCTTTGGCCTCTCTTGGCATGAAAAGTCCCTTGGAATGATTCTGTTACATACAGTGCTCTTTCTGGAATGCACTGGACAAAAAACATAGGAAATTAATATTTTGGCTGTTTTGGTCAGATGTTGAGATTAATTAATCATCTGTTGGACTTACTCCCATAATTTTGATTATTATTGCAAAGAAAAGGCTTGGTTTCTTTAAAATATTGCATCCTCAAATTATTGTCTCTGACCACAGGTTTCATGAAGACAACAATCACACACACAATCATAAAATACAATCTTGCATTGTTCAATAAGAACTTGCTTTCAAAAAAAATAAAATCAGCAAAGAAAAGATGCTTTGCCTATGGTGAAATTCCTGACACACTAACTTCCAAAACAAATACCTCTGCAAATTTTACACTTACAAAATTCTGCAACATTGTAAATTGAAGCTGAAGATGTTCTTCAACTTTTCTTTAATCATATATAAAGATGATTGACCTGATTGACAGATCTTGAGATATTCTCACTTTTCTAAACCTAACTTTTCTTTGGTGATAAGAATCTGGAAAACCTTCATGCCAGATTCTTATCTCACTGATGCACAAGCTTTTGGTGCAAACGGTGACTTCAAAAGCCTTGTTTCTAAATGTACATGAATGAATTTATTTCTGCGACACATGTTCCATTGAGATATCCTGTACTAATAATTTTGCTATTGGATATTGTTATAAATAATTTTGATGCAAGAAATGATGTCTTACAACGCATTTGTTTTCCAAGTAACTTTTGCTCAATAAATACAAATTTATTACAATTTGTGAAATAATTTGGTTTTATTGAGTGTTTTCCTCATCCCAGAATGGCTTTGCAACTATTAGAAGATTTTGCTATGTTGTACATGTACAGTACATCAGTATACATTGTATGCTGAAAATGATGCCACCAGAATAACGTTGTTCAGCAGTGTACTGTATATAGGTGCATCATACATGGAAACATGTCCTTGATGGACGCTTGATCATCTTGCCTCTGGTTTCTGCAGATTCTACTTCTTTTAAATTTTTATCTTATCTTTTGGTCCATGATCATCCTCTCTTATTTCTCGCAAGACGTGGGACGAGTCCGCCGAGGACAACAACGGGTACTTGATGACAATGGGGTACCAGGATATTGCCAGTTTGCACCCGATTGCCAAGCTGACAACCAGAGCGCACCAGATTGATGAGTGCTGCAGGTTCCTGTTCCCGGTTTTCTTCAGCCTCTTCAACTTCTCCTACTGGGTCTACTACTTGTTCTTCGCCTGATGATGATGAGGAGGAGGAGGAGACGCGTTGTCGTTTCAAATAAGTCCGAGTATATGGTNAAATAGGTTTAGGTGGGGGGGGGGGGGTAGTCTAATATTGTATGATAGAGGTGCATACTACACTGATGAAAAAAATATGTGGACAGGGTCTTGACAAAAAGAAGATTTGACTTATAGCAAGCTCAAACTGTAAGAAGTTTAAACCATGTCTCAAGGAAAAAATCACACAGTCTATAGTTTGACATATCACTGTATAAACATAATTATTTTGAAGTTAAATTAAATAATGACATGTCAGTTGATGCTGAGAATAATAAACCCTTAATATCTTCATATAGCAACCCAATCCATTGCTATTATACAATTTCATGCCCATGGTCATTTACTGCAGTTGAAGCATTTCTCTAGTTTGCAAAAAAATGAGGGTACTTTCAATTTGCCCACGATTTTCTGAAATTTTGTAGTATTTTTAGTTCATCAGACTCCTTCAAACTGAAAAGACTTGAATTGGAATATTTTGTGTATGCTACATATTAAGAGAACTCCCAAATAACAGGTTTTGACCTAAGCCATACAGAAATCTTCCCTCCCTCTTTTTTAACTTCTATTTATTGATTTATCTTTTGAATAATTACAAACGGTGTTCAGTTTTGAGTGATTTCTGAGCAAAATAAGTGAAACAAATGAATGAGAGTCGCGCGTCAAACCCTCAAAATAAAATTACAAAAAAACTTTTTACAAAAAAAAATACCTCGTAAAGTAAACGCAATCGTGTGGGACCCTTTGCAAAAGTTGTTTGTGTTGAAAACGGGGAAAAACGATAAATGCTGAAGGTTTTGAATTCACTCGGCTGAAGAATATTCTGTATTCTCAAATCGGCAGCTATTTTCTTTCGTTCGTTGGCTCAATTCTCGTGAACATTTGCTCGTATTTTCCACGGACAGACGAAGCAAGAGAAAAAAAAAAGAAATATGAAAGGGTTACCAACTCCGCATGGCTGTTAATAAAAAAGAGTGTAGCGCTTTTTTTTCGACCTGTTAAAGACTTACACGCCCACACAAGTCACAAAACCTGTTTTCTACAATCCTAGTATAAATTGGCAGGCCAACAAGGTGCTCAAATCCTTCGTTGAATTTTATTCCGTTTTTGCTGCTGTGTTTCCTAAAGAATATATATCTTTTTTTACTCCACAAATACCACAGCATACCGTAATATGATATTAGTTCACGCTGTAACCTTTGAAATATTTCATTATCGAAACAATAAGCTCTTCCAATATTATCAGCTGCGATATATCCTTTTTACATTTTACAATTTTCCCTTGAATTATTGAAAGTAAATACACTACTTTTGTGTCAGCCCAGTTGAAGAGAAAAACCGCAACTATAATTGTGAATTAAGAAAAAAGTAAAAATTTACAGCGTGGAAAAGTACTTGATGAGAAAACTCATTTCTTCACATTTTTAAAAAAAAATGGCCATGATCTTGATTATACCTTAGCAAACTAATGCAATTCAAAAATGGTCTGTGTTTGTCAAATGTAAAAAAAAAATTCTTAAAGATAAATCCTCCTACATACACACTTTTTTTCAATGGATTGATGTACAAGCTTCACTTGCCACTTGTCAGTGTTCACAAGTTTCGAAAGCAAAATTTCATGTAAAACATAATTTCAAACTCAACAGTGAAGTATATATTTTTTAGGAAACAGAGCATTGTTTTTTGAAAAATTATTTCATCTTCTCCCTTTATTTTCAGGATTATGAATTGAGTGCGTTCAACAATGAGTGACATTTACTTCAGTGAAAATCCTTGGTGATCGCCAAGATCATCATTATCATCATGTGTACAGCAAGAACAGGCCTTATTCCTTGACAAACTCAATTTCAACCCACCTTCAGGCAGCATCAGCCTGAATAAAGAGGTGAGCTGATTCAGAAAATCTTGCATGGAACCTGAAATACAGTATTCTTTTAGTGAAGGCCAACTTCACAAAAAAATTAGAATGCTGTACAAATTCTGCCAACTCATGATGATATGCAAAAGAAATTCCGAAAATTTTCCCAAACCCATTCCACATGGAGTGAAAGAAAAACAGGAACACAGAACACATTTTTTGCATGTCATGCCTGCATGTCAAAAAAAAAAAACATACACACACACACAAGAAAAGGGAACACTGAGACGAAATCCGTGAGCAGGAAGACATCTCTGGCATTCTGTGCTGGATCGTGGCCTGGTTTCTTTGTGAACCTCCGCGGAGAAGCACAGAAAAAAGAGAGAGAGAGAGAGATGAAAATGTCCAGTAAACCCGAGTGTGGAGACGATTGTAAAGTGTTCATCAGTGAGTCATCAGTCAGGGATGTGGAGAAAGAAGACATAGTCAAGTCCTGCAAGGAAGTCCTGAAAGCAGTGGCGCAGGCCGTGGTCATCGGAACAGCGCTCTATGTCTTCGCAGCCATTGCTCTGCCGGGCGTGTGCTCCTGGATCGCCGCAACGTTTCTGCAAGATGTCGGCGCCCTCCCGAGACGAGACGCAGCAGGGAACGCGACTTTCGTCGTGCGGGTGACGGAAGCGGTGCCAACTGCGATTGATGACGCCGCGTCGGGGCTATTGACGCAATTGGAGACGGATTACGCACTGGGCTTGGCAACGTTGTACCAGGCAGGGTACTTTGACCGGTTGCCCGGGAACTGGAGTCGCGAGGTGGACGAGTTCTTCGGGGGCCGCGGGAATAATGATGGGCCTTTGTCCGGGACAAAGGGGGCAAGAGTCAAGAGACAAATTGAAGCCATGAGTCCATTCATTGTGGGCATGTTCGGCAACGACAAGGTCCAGGCGCAGAACGAGCTCAAGTACCCAGACACAGGCTTGTCTTTTAGGTGAACGGCAACAAATGGTTCATAATTACCCTTTCTCCTGCCAGATCTCACTCCAGACCTTATATAGTCACTAAATACCGGGGATCACATGCCCTTTGGTGGTTGAGATAAACAGCGCGTGATGAGGTAAACATATGTATAGGGAACGTAGGATTTAGTTTTAAATTCAAAAAAGCACATAATAAAGTGTATAACCAAGAATGGATCTCAATATATTGTACATCAAGACATTATTTTTGTGGATTAATTGTTGCTTATTTTGGTGGACTTATATCACAGAATTTCATTTCAGGGGTTTTTGTGGATCTTTTGAAGAAAAGAAACAGATCTATATATTTCCAAATATGCTAATAATTTTACTAAAATTTCATTTTGAAGTTTAAAAAGTTACTTGGGAAAATAGAAATATTTCTGACTTGAAACTAATATATCTGAAGTAATAACCTATGTATTATATACTTGAGCTTGATGCATGTAAAGTAATTCGCTTGCTGTTAGTATCCTTGTAATAAGGCACATTTTGAAGTCATTCTGGCATTTAACCCTTGGGCAGCAGGGCCGGGATTTTCCGCAACATTTGTTTGCCCCAAGGATTAAAAAAGGGGGAAACAAGAATGATGAGAAGAGCTGAATTTCAGAAAAATTCCGATTTTTTTTCACCATTCCTGCAGAAAAATTTTTGAGAAAAAAGTTACTGTTGGCAGTGCTGGGTGGCATTTTTTCAGCATTCCCGCTGTAGGATTAGCATATTGGGGGATTATTAGGACAATGACTTTCTTTCTGTGGGATTTTTCCCAACTTTGGCTATACTCAGCCAAATGTGTTCCATATACAAGTTGTGCTGTATATCTCATATTCATATGCAATGCTATATATGCATAAAACACAATTTTTCAATTGTATAAGCACCTCTGATGGACTTTGAATAATGTACTTATTATGAATCTTTGAATACCATCCTTTATATACAGACCATTGGCACCAAGGTTACCTTTCCAGAAGGCAGTCTGCTCAGCTCTGACATGCTGCTACTTGCTGCCTGACCAAGTGGCTTTGCCATGTTGTGGCCTACTGGGAATGCAGTTCAGATTACATTTGGATTGCTGTCGATGCTTTGGCATGGAGATTGTTGGTTTGGAGAGCATGAGAGCTGTGTCTTAATCATCTGCTCATATACAGTACTTGTACTGTATCATATCTTGTCGCGCACTTTTTAAAAGCTGTTAAAAAAAAGTTTTGTGTCTTGCAATCTTTATTTATTGTATTTACTCAAGTACTATTCCCCCTGACTTATTATCAAGGGAATTGGCTGATAATGTTTTTTATAGGAGTGGAATTATGACCCAAAAAGTTGCAATTGCTCAAGATTTGTTCCCGCAATTTGTGTTGGTAGAAGTTTGAATTATTTTTTCAAGTAGTAATTTTTAAGAAAAATATTTTTTGATGGAATAAAATTACATAAATCCACAGGAAACTTGTTGACAAACCGCAAAACCGTTCATATTTTTTCTGTCACTCATATTCATGACTTTCAATGGTTTTATGCATTTTTTATGCCGGAAAATGTGCACTGTACTTTCATGCGCCATTTGCAGTACAGTGGCCCCCTGCCTAACAGACCTCCCGTGTAAGGGATTTTTGCCTAACAGACCAGCTCTGCAAGCAGTTTTTCCTCCTGCCCAACAGACAAAATCCACCAAACAGACTTCTATTGGTTTAAAATTAGTGTTGAAAAATTGAAATTTTCAATTTTTATGTAATTGAATTTATGTTAAGGGCTTTTCATCTAACAGACTAGTCCCTTGCACAAATCAAGTCCGTTAGATGGGGGTTGACTGTACTATCTTTTTTTTGGCTAAACTTTTCAGAAAAAATGTTCTTGCTCGAATATGGCAAAAAATATATTTTCTCAAGTACAGTACTGTATATCAATGGATGATGAGCAAAACAAGCTGGAGTTCATTTTTCTTCCCTTCAAGTGACTGCAGGAAGGAAATGCATGAATGAATGTTTCTGCAGAAACTTCTTGCGGGCTATTCATGCGAAGTGGGGGTGGTGCTGGTGATGATTTGTCTTGGGATTGAGTACCTAGAAATATGTTGTCTGCAGGCTTCTCTTTAATTGACACTGAAACAGGGGGAAACACGTTTGGGTACATCACCCCTGCTGAACCTGCGTGTCAGTACTGGGGAACCTGACGATAAATTCCGAGTAATGGACAGTGTTATGCTGAGTATATATACTGATGTGCTCTCAAGCTGCGAAGCACCTTGTTTTTATAATACTTCCTGCGTGTTCTTCATGAGAGGAAAAATTTGTTGCAATTTTTTTCTGTTCTGCACAGAAATTCTAGCTATGCATGGACACAAGTGTTGTATCATTACAATGGAAATGTCGCAGCCCGAACCAACGCAGCTCCGGCATCCGTCCAAAACTGGACACAAAAGCTTGTTGGATCTGGAGGCCAGTGAGCCTTGCAAAAATCCCGTTTTTGCAAGACTCACTGAGCCTCACTCAAGGACAAGAAGTGGTTATCACTTCTTCAATTTTTCCTGAATTGTCCAATCCTGAGCCAGGAAGAAATTGCCTGATTTATTCCTGACCCAGTCCAAGCACCTGGCTATAAAAGCCTTCATTCCTCTTTGAGAGGAGAAGTCAATAAGTCAGAGCCTAGTGTTGAAGGGCCTTTTAACTTTAAATTACCTCATTCAATATTCTGAGCTAACCATTGACTCTGCCATTACGACCATTGAATTAAAAAGCCAATTGATGAACTGGGCCACAAGAATGAACTCCTCTGAAAAGAGTTTGAGTTCTTATTCAAAACTTGCATTCTGATGGCTGCACAATTCAATTCCTTTGTCTGGGATCCAATGGACNTCTTATTCAAAACTTGCATTCTGATGGCTGCACAATTCAATTCCTTTGTCTGGGATCCAATGGACCCATGACAGGAAACCCACAGAACCACGCTGCTTTGCAAAATGGCCTTTCTGCTGTGAAGCAGAATGAGCGGTTACAATTGAGATACACTGGGGCCTTAATCAATGAAAAACCTGTGCTATATGAACATTTATCATTCCAACATTACTTTACAGGGGTAAAGTGACACACATTATTAAAAAAAATATGAAGAAATTTCACAGATATTTGTCATATGAAGAAAAAATTATAAAAAGGACAAGAGTAAAAACAATGACAATTTTACCTTCCCAGCAGTCTTTGACACTCAAGTAATCCAGAAAGTTGATGGCATATAATATCATCAAGATTACTTCATTTTTAGAAGCAAATGTTTTAAATTTCTGCTCAAGTGAAATTTAACTCTATCTTGTTTGAAAATGGATGGTTAATTTTCAGCAATAATATGCCATTCAATTTTTCATGGTCATCATTAAAACAAAGGTACCTCTGCTCATAAGTTTTGAAAGTGTGTGAAAATTGTTCTGAATGCTGTAATGCCACTTATGCTCACTTCAAAAATCAATGTTTTGCAGCATGGCAGTATTTTTAATACAGTTTTATGACGCATTTACAACCATTTATAAGCATTCATAGCTCTTGAAAAATGAAGAAATACAAATTATTTATTTCTTGTGCTTCCTGCCAGCAAATAATGTGTTTTTACTTGAGTACCATAATCACCAATGAAAAGATGCGTATGCCTAAACTTCGAAAAACAAAATCTATCCCTGGAGAAAAAACGTCTGCTTCATTTTTGTTTAAAAAAATTCAAATACCGTATTTCATAAGTAAAATTGGCCAATATTCGAATTTTCACTTCAACTAAACGTAAATTCTACTGATTTACAATCCCATTTCGTTTTTCATGCTTTGTTTTTTTACATGGGTCTAAGATTTTCATTAAGTCACTCAAGATCGAAGTATGAAGCGCATCTAAGTTCAAAAACTTGCAAACTTCAATATTTCCGACGATTTTCTCTCTAATTTTTGAAAAAAAAAAAGGTATTATGTGGTGTGCAAGTACAAATAGTAGTCCCAATAAGGGGATACTCGTCTCATAGATCAGATTGGAGTGGATCCTTCCAAGAAAAGACAACAATTAATGACATATATGTTGACATTCATCATTGGCTGTGATTCCTCCTCAGCTGTCAGGTAATTGTTTTAGTGATCATGATTCACAGTCAGTACTACAAGACTGACAGGGCACTAGAAAAGGGGTGCTCATTTGCCTGGATTTCCATGCTATATCACCATGTAGAGACAGGGACTTAGATCTGACAGCAGGTGGACTGATGACTGATGGCTTCATACATTATATGAGGATACTGTACCCAAGTGCTCAGCAGAAACAGCCCAATCAGGACAAGAATAAAAAAGGGGGAGAAGGAGAGAAAAAATAATAATAAAAGAGCTAGTCTAAATGAGAACCAGCAGTTCTGTACTTGGCTACGAACCAGGATGAGGAGAGAACCTCTCCCTCAAACATAAAAGTAGAACTCAGGGCCAACAAGTTCCCATCAAAAGTGACGGGGGTGTAGAAATGACAAGGGAAACCCACAAGCCCATTTCCTCAGAGCCAGGAAAAGCCTTATAGCACAGGAGCACACATACCAGGGTTGGTTCATAAGTTTTGAGACTTTTTTGAAATAGATCCAACAGAGTTTCAACCATTCCATAAATATGTTTTTTTTACTCACATAGCCTCATCATTTGGCAACACTGCAGTGCTGTGCAACATACTCTACACCAATTTTAATGCATTTTTTCATGCAATATATCCAGCATTCAAAACAGTGCCAAAAATATAGTTCTGTGAGTCAATTAAGCTGCTCTTTGATGGTAGAAATGAGGCTGTCCCTGTCCTCAAAATAAATATTTTTGGACGTTCTTTACCATTGGGCAAAAACCTGCAGAAGTTACAGGGTGCCAATAAATCAGCTAACAGAACTCAGTTTTTGGCACTATTTTGATCATTTGAATTGTTGGAAACAGTAAATTGAATTTATGGAAATTTGACTATTTTGCTTT